CATATATGTCACGTCTATATACTGGAAATGACCCGGCACATAACTATGCACTCCAATCCATACAATGATAACTACATTCACTGGACATACACTTAGGGTGGTATTCTCGAAAGGGGCCTAAGTTAAACCTGGCCTAACTTAGTCCGTGGTTTAGTTAGGCCAGGCTTAACTTAGGCCGCTGACCTAAGTCATTTTCGTTTCTCGAAAGGTGGCCTAACTGATCCATGGTTTAAACCTGGCCTAACTTAGTCCATGGATTATTCACCATGGTTACGGTTTCTGCACATACTCAGTACCGAAGCTGCGACGTCACAATGCACTAAGACAATGGGCTAAGACAATGGATGCGCGCAGTGTGTAGAGGATGCATCACCTTGACAACTTGAGCAACATGACGTCCAGGGGCGGCGGAGCGACTTCCAAAGCGGGGGGCAGCACCAACAAAAAGGGCACTTGCTGGAATTGTATCATTGTTAAAAGGGAAATTATCGGAGTTAGAAAATGGTCACATATCGCACCTGAAAAGGGGCATTGAACATATTTTAAAAGGGGCACTAATATGATAATGAAAAAGAGGCACTTATAATAAAGGAAATGTGCATTTGTTGAAAGAAAAAGGGCACCGATAATTTTGTTAATAGGGGCACCTCTCAGATTTAAATAGGGCAATTATCAGAGGTGAAAGGGCACCGATAATTTTGATAATAGGGGCACCTCTCAGATTTAAATAGGGCAATTATTAGAGGTGAAGGGGCACTTGTCAAAAGTAAAAAGGGGCACTTTTCGTACCTGTAAAGGAGCACTTACTAGAGATTTAAAAGGGCACTTATAACAATGGAAAATTGACACTTATTGCAAAGGAAAATGAAAACTTGTCAAAGGAAAAGGGTCGCGTGTCAAAATTAAAGGGGCACTTATCAGAGGTGAAAAGGGGAAGGGGCACTTTTGCTATGGAAAAGTGGCACTTCTTACAAAGTTAAAAGGGCACTTTCCTACATAAAAAGGGGCATTTGACTTAACTCGCCGACAGTTGGCCTAACCTAGATGTAAACGCAGCCTGGAATGTAGATTTTACAAGGCCCTAATTGTTAGAGCCCAACTTTTCCATTTTAGTTCAATCTAACATTAGATCAAAGATTGTCTTTGTTTATGTTATCTCCCAAAATAAGCTTCGTGAAAGGGGAAAAAGTAAAATGAAAATTTACTGCACTGTACTGTACTGCAGTCTGTAGGTCTCTAAGTCTTATATGGTCCAGAATTGTTAGTGGTAGATTTGAATTTTCTTCTGACCCAAATTTGAAAGTAGTTAATCAACTGTTGATTATTTGTGTCTTATTTTCAGAGATAGTTCCGCCCAAAAGTCTAGGCCAAGCTGTCACTGTCAGGAGTGACTGGTAGCCATGGCAATCGAGCTGAAAATATGAGCTCGTGCCGATGTTAAATGAATGAAAGTTGAGTGTAGATTGCACCTACATTCATCATACAAAACAGTTTAAAATCACTTCATAATGTACCTGTAAACACATCTGCAGATTTATAAAATCAGCAGATCTTTTTAATAAAAATTGTATAAACATGATTTAGTTTACAAAATTTAGGCGTAATTACAGCTTTACTCACCAGCAGACTTTCCAAGAAAAATGGATTATCTATTTTTCCTGTTCAGGAAATAACTGGTGTTGGGCCAACTGGCTTGGAGATGCGAATGTGGGTGCAATCAATAGCACCGACCATATTAATGCCAAGGAAATTGCAGTAATTATAAAATTCATGCTGGGTCTGCACTCTGCAGGACTGCCTCTCTATCTCTTGTTGATGGAATTGAGATGTATTGCTCCCATCTCCTGGCAATGGCTATTGAGATGGTTTTCACAAGGCGGGACACCGTAGGCTTGGGAGAGGCCTTCTTTTTTCATTCCCATGCATCAATTGGAAAGAACCTGAAATAGCAGAAAATCAAGATGAAAAATATGTTGATATTTGATAAGAAATTACAATTTCTCTTTCTCTGTAGAGTCTAGTTTACTAACTAGACTAATATTATTAGACTAAACTACTGTAACATTATCAGCAAATGTATGTCAAAAAAAGGAAGCTTCTGTCCATTTCCTTTCAATTTCTATTAGACCTGTCTAGACTAGACTCTTGTTGGTGAAATTTAGATCTGGGTCTAGTAATATTGTTTAAAACAAATGTTTTTCTTGGGGAGGGGGGGGGGGCTGGGTGGTTATGAAAATCATCATTATCCTGTAGAAAATTATCGCACCAACAGCCACAACTAGCACTGCAGCTCAGGCAGAGGTGATACCAGACCGAAATTTCTGTCCTTTTCATTCGTTAGCCTCTGATTTGGGTAGGGTCGGCTCCTTTAAGAGAGGAGCCGACCCTACCCAAATCAGAGGCTAACGAACGAAAGAGACGGCCAGATCTAGATTTAGGCCTAGTGCTAGTCCACTTTTAGGCAACAGCGTCTCGAAAATCCACTATAAAAGTAGTTTCTACGTCTAGCAATGATAGTTTTAAGGCGGTGTTAAGGTGGTATATGCGTACGAAAGTACATAGTGCCAAGAAAAAAATTACCCGGTAAGAAATTGCTCAATCTCAGGAAACGAAAATGTTAACCGACAATTATTTGCACGTATGGGACAGGTCTGCGAACACAATGAAAATTTACCAAGTTTCCCCCAAATTTATTCAGTTAAAAGCATTTTAGATTATCACCTATACAGCAACATGAAAGTAACAAAAATACTTTATTAGCTGGTGTAACTTTCATGCGCGCTTATCCATACAAAAGAGTGTAAATTGTTATCAAATATAGAAATTCAAATGCAAAACTTACCGTTCACTCTCCGCGAACAACTAAAACGTGACGTCACGCGAAGTTAGTCCGAACTATGACGTATTTAAACCTGCCCTCTGAGCGGCCTAAAGTTAGGCCGAACTATGACGTATTTAAGCCTGGCTTATCTTTAGGCCACCTTCGAGAATAGCAAGAAAGATAGTCCATGGTTTAAACCAGGTTTAGGCCACTGATTTAACTTAGGCCGCTTTCGAGAATACCACCCTTAGACTCTAAGCCCTCTCATCATCTCTCACGTCACAAAGAAGAATTGGAATGAACTGGACTGATTTCAATGATCCCTCCATATACGCTGGGTTGCTTAATACTGGCTGCCAAGTTCTGACATCATATTATAGTTAGAGACCTTTGATCGAACTGATACGTTGTATAGCTTTATTGAGGCACTGTGCAGTCAGACATCCGTGTACGGTAGCCATGTATTTATGAATTATACAAGTACTCATTGTTTCATAACATGACCTAACATGAGTCATGGGTTGCAGGTCATTCTATATTTAGTTATACATACTAGTCTGTATTTGCAAACTCTGTTAACTAGTCATTACTACAAGAGATACGTCTGATCGGTGGCACAACACAAAATTATAAAAAGTCTCTCATGCGTTGCACACACGATATATTCCTAGCGCGATACCATATTGCATGCGCCGTGCGTTCCGTTCAAAACGCACACTTACGTACGTTGATTGTTTCTTGAGCATTACGCATTTACCCACCTGGTTGGAATGCACGAGCCTTGCCCGAAGCTAAACATTCGGCGCTGATCGGAGTCACGAAGTGGTCGACTGCCTCACCGTAGTGTTTAACATTTATTTTAAAGATTTGAATTCATGTCATATATTGGTGGGAAAATATTTTTAAAGAACAAATAAATATATAGTTGATAAAAAAAAAATATTGTCAAGTAAATATATTTATTTTGGGGGGTAAAGTCATGGTTTTTTTTTAATTCATACAAAACATACTTTAGTGCACATCCGCACCCGGGCATTCGCGTTGCAATCACATGTATGCACAAAGTGCTGCACTGTCGATTGACACACGCAGATCCGAGGTTGATGCGAAGCCCGGCCGCGTCTTATTTGTTCGTACCACGGCGATCCCAGATTGAGCTCGCGAGGGAAACCTGCGCATGCGCACTCGCGAAGGAAACCAGCGCATGCGCACGTGGAATCCGGTAGGGTGGTCAATAGGGTGATAGTAATTATACAAATCATTCTTTCATCAACTTATCGTTAGCTCAATCGGTAAGGACAGCGTGTTACTAATAGAACCTTGGATTTGCCGTGAGGGTTCAAATCTCAGTTTATTTAGTTTTTTTTACCTTTATAAATAGTGAGGCAAAGCAATAAATAATCAAAGTCGAATTGTTTGTGACCTCTTTGCAAGCTTAAGTAGCTTGTTATGTTTGAAAATGAGTTCATACTGGAATCTGGGCTCGCCGTGGTACGAAAAAATAAGACGCAGCCCGGCCAAATGTACTTGCTGTGAATCGTGGCAGCTAGCCATTTCGCTGCGTGCCGCATACTTGCGTTACGTTCGGAAGGAAGCGTATCAGCTAAAAAGTGACGTTTCCCCCGCATAATCCCCGCTTGTGGGCCTTAACTTTCACTGATAGCAAATGCTCGTTTAGACAGGGACGCGACAAAACTGCGGCGGTTTTCGAAAATGAATGGTTGCGTAAGGTGTGTCCCTTGTTGAGCGCAGTTGCTCATTTACACGTCATGTCTGAAGCCTTTAGGGATCTTTCTTAAGTTTCATAAATGATTTTCAACAATGATATTAATTTTGTTCAAGATATTTGAAAGCATATTCATTTTTTGAAGGGAGACCGTGAATTTGTATTACCAACTTCTATAAAGAAATGTTGAGGAAATTTCCAGTTAATATATATATCTGTAGAATTTTTCATTTATTAAAGAAGATATATGGGCTGTATTATCGAATCTCTTTGTCACTATCTACACTTTTTTCGGGACTTTTATGCATTTGCTCTGGAGGATTATGGGCTTTAAACATAAACTTATATGTGTTTTAAACCTAAAGTTTGCACTCTTGTCGCCTAAATGTTACAGGGTAAAACTCTTCATATTTCTAGAGAAAAATCCTTTCACCCCCTGGTTCTCCCCCACAGATCCATTTGAAATTCGTCTTGTCGATGGGTCTAACGACACTGAAGGAATGATAGAGATCATGTACGATGGATCCTGGGGAACTATATGTGATAACACCTGGGATATGACAGACGCAAGGGTGGTTTGCAGAATGCTTGGGTTTGATGGATCTTTGGGAGCACCGGTATCTGCTAGTTTTGGTCAGGGCTCTGGTCGTATTCTGCTAGATTATGTCAACTGTGAGGGAACAGAAGACAACCTTGCAGACTGTGATCATAGCGGATTTGGAGATTATACTTGCCAATATTCTGGGAATGAGATGCCAGGCGTCATTTGTTATTCTGGAGGTAGGTTTCTCTGGTAACGTATTCTACAAAGAAGCAGTTTTTAGTCGATTTATAAATAGGTGTTCAAACCTGAACAAATCATCAGAAATTGAAGAAATGTCCGGTTCATATACCTGTAGAGCTTTTCCCTTCTTAAAGCCACCATCAGACCGATCTACTTCTCAATACGTTCTGGGAAATGTTGCCAAACGTGCTCAAACTGTGTGCGAACGGAGTTGAACGTAGTAGCAACTGTTAACGATCTGTTTAAGAACATCATGACGGGCTCGGACTGGTTCAAAATTGTCCCCGTCTTGCAATAAGACGGAGTGACAACGTACTTAAAACGAGGAGGACGTACTACAAACGGACTGGTTGCCGTACTATGAACGGAATTGCCGTACTTCGTTCCTACTAGGAACGTATAACAACGTGCTGTGGTCGAGCATCAATTAGCAGCAGCTAAGCCCCCATCACACCAAACTAGTTCTAACTACGTTCCAGAACCGTCCTAGAAAATCGTAAAAAACGGGACATGGTCGGGGTAGAATGTGTAAATAATGTCTATAATACGATCCTAGACCATTCATAACCATGTACCCCGTCCACAGTCAGTTTAAAAAACCCGAAATTACTTATTGCCCATAGATCCATAAGACACCACGGTCCCGACCTATGGAACTCTCTCCCAGAATCTATTAAATCATGTTGCTCCCTCTACTCATTTAAGGCGAAAGTTAAAACGATGTTATTATCAGAATACTCAAGGTAGAATTTCTGTGTCAACTCTTCATTCTTTATCATGTCATCACTTCTTTCATTAATTCGAATCATTATCACCATCGTCATCATCATCATTATCATCATCATCATCATCTTCATCATCATCATCATCCTCATCTGCATCACCATCATCTAAATTTGTATTTTCAATTACCTATCCGTTTCTGCTTAATAAATGTGTTAATATATTTCATGAGTTTTGTCTGGGGCTGTTGTATTATCAAGCAATCTGCTTACAATGACAGTCCTTCATCCGCAAATAATTTTATAATGTTTTATCATGTTTGAGGAAATTTAGTATTTATGACAGTTTATCATTTCGTTTTTTTAAATGACAATTTATATATATGTATTTGCTTATTTATGATTCATTGTCAGAACAATACTTATTGTACTTTATATTATTATTGTTATCGAAAAACTGTATGTTTACATGAATGCAGAAGAAAATCAAATCAAAACAAAATCAAATCAAATAAAGTTCAGATCGGGTAAATTTGCCATTTCCAAGAAATCCAAGCCCGTCCGTAATCATTTTAAACAAGTTCGTAACTAGTTTCACTTCATTCCCAATACATCAAACCATTCTAACCAGTTCGTAACACGTTCCTAGTAGGACCGAAGTACGGCAATTCCGTTCGTAGTACGTCCATCTCGTTTAAGTACGTTGTCAGTCCGTCTAATTGCAGGACGGGGACAATTTTGAACAGGTTCAAAGTTTTAGAGCGCCCTTCCCGTCCAAGCTAGTCCGAGCCCGTTCATAAAGTGTTTAAACAGATCGTAAACAGTTGCTTTGACGTTCACTCCGTTCGCACGCATTTTTGAGCACGTTTGGCAACATTTTACAGAACGTAGTGAGAACTAGTTTGGTGTGATTGCCGGGGGGGGGGGCTTCACTTGAATGTCTTGATTTGCACAGCTTGAATCGTTGAAGTTGAACGGGAATAAGAAATGGTAAGAATGCGCTCGGGTTTTATAACTCTTGAGCCAGGACGTGATTCCACACGCTCTAGGAGCGCGTTCCAACGCACTAAGAACGAGATGAGGACGAGCTGAACTGTCTCTGAACTTGTTAGAATCGGTCCGGTCGTATTGGGAACGAGGTAGAACTAGTTAATAACGGGTATAATCTGACTGCGGACTGGCTTGAACTGCCTGGAAATGGTAAATTTACCCGATCTGAACTTGATATGAACTGACTGGGGACGGGATACAGACGAGATGGACGTATTGAGGACTGTTTATGAACGAACTAGAGTCGTATTACAGACATTATTTCCTCATTCTACTCCGACCACAACCCGTTTTACGATTTTCTAGGACGGTTTCAAACCGTAGTAAGAACTAGTTTGGTGTGAAGGGGGCTTGACGTATGGACTATATTAATTAACTTCTCTGTCACTATCCAAACTCATTTCGTTTGCTTTCAAGACTTGTGGGCTAAAAAAATATATACTTAAATGTGTTTTGAACATAACGCTTGGACTCTTTTGGTCAAAATGTATATGGAAAAACTCTTCATATGTCAAAAGAAAAATCCCTTCACCCCCTGCTTCTCCCACACAGATCCATTTCAAGTTCGTCGTGTCGGTGGGTCTAACGATGCTGAAGGGAGAGTAGAGGTCATGTACGATGGATCCTGGGGAACTATCTGTGATGACTGGTGGGATGTGAAAGACGCGAAGGTGGTTTGTAGAAAGCTGGGGTTTGATGGAGCCTTGGACGCACCGAGATCTGCTAGGTTTGGTCAGGGCTATGGTCGTATTCTTCTAGCTTACGTCGATTGTGAGGGAACAGAAGACTGCCTTGCAGAATGCGCTCATGACGGAGTTGGGAATTATACTTCATGCGGACATGCCAGGGATGCAGGTGTCATTTGTTATTCTGGAGGTAGGTTTCTCTGGTCCGTATTCAACGGAGAACTACTAATAATTGTTCAAACCTGAACAAATTCATCCGAAATTGAAGAAATTTCCGGTTTCTATATATCTGTAAAGATTTTCTCTTCTTAAAAAAGAAGTGTGGGCTGAATTAACTAACTTCTTTGTCACTATCCACTCTTATTTCAGGCTGTTAGGCATTTGCTCTGACTCGAGGGTTGTGGGTTAAACATATATGCGTTTTAACGGTAAAGTTTGTTCTCTTTTCGTCTAAATGTTATCAAAACTCCTTATGTTTCAAGAGAAAAATCCTTTCACCCACTGGTCTCCCCCCCCCCCCCCCAGATACATTTAAAGTTCGTCTTGTCGGTGGGTCTAACGATGCTGAAGGGAGAGTAGAGGTCATGTACGATGGATCCTGGGGAACTATCTGTCATGTTGAAATGGAATTTGTTGCAAGCTAGGGTGGTTTGCAGGATGCTTGGGTTTGATGGAGCCTTGGAACCACTGGGATCTGCTAGGTCTGGTCAGGGCTTTGGTCGTATTCTTCTCGATTGGGTCGCGTGTGATGGAACAGAAGACAACCTTGCAGAATGCTTTCATGGAGGAATCGGACATTATACTTCATGCGAAATTCCCAGGGATGCAGGTGTCATTTGTTATTCTGGAGGTAGGTTTTTCTGGTCCGTATTCTATAGAGAAATAGCATCTAGTCGATCTAGAAAGAAAAATGGAGCAGTAATTATAAAACACAGAATCGGATATTCTTGCTTTTTATTTTGAATAGTTACGTCAAGTGCTTTTCATGTTATTTCGGACAAAAGAATCAGAGAAATTTTACGGCTGATAAACGCAATTTTAATATCGGACATATTTATGACATTGAAGTTGCTGCGTACTTTCCCTTGGAATATTAAAGAGATTTCATTCGAATAAAAGGTTACATAAGAATGTCAAAAATCCTGTGATTTTTCATCCGTGCGGTAAATAGAGAAAAAAAATCGAATTGATGACATTTCACGCATGAAAATATTTGCACTAGTAGTTCAGGCAAATGACCAGGTTTATAATGCCAAACTGTATTTTTCTTTTTAAATGTAAAATATAAAAATACTTTTTTCCTCACAGCCCATCCTCAGCCATTTCAAGTTCGTCTTGTCGGTGGGTCTAACGATGCTGAAGGCAGAGTAGAACTCATGCATGATGGATCCTGGGGAACTATCTGTGATGATGACTGGGATCTGAGAGACGCGAAGGTGGTTTGCAGAATGCTGGGGTTTGATGGAGCGTTGGACGCACCGGGATCCGCTAGGTTTGGTCAGGGCTCTGGTCGTATTCCGCTAAAGTATGTCAACTGTGAGGGAACAGAAGACAACCTGGCAGACTGTGCTTATGTAGGGATTGAACGTGATCCATGCAGTCATGCAAGGGATGTAGGAGCCGTTTGCTACTCAGGAAGTATGTTTCCCTCTCGCATAACCCATTATTTTCAACTGAACATTATTTTTGTTAATTCCATGCTCATAAGATGAACATGAACAACTCGAGTCAAGTGTCTTCAAACTCTATATAATCTCACTGGATGCACTAATGGTCTATTAAAGACGAATCACCTCCTCCCCCCCCCCCCCCCCAAAAAAAAGAAGACTTTTCTAGTTTGATCATACAATTCAAATGCAACCAAGCCATGTTTCCGTAATTTTATAGCCAGATATGTTATCTTTATTTTTTTTTCAGCACTTTTTTTTTATTTTAAGCTTAAAAAGCGTGTGGTTGATGTATCATTAGAATTTATTAAACATTATCGCATACCTCGGTATTATGAGTCTAAATGTGTTGATAATAGGATTTATTACTATAAACATTTTTCTACCATTTCATTTACATATATATTCAAAGCTTTTGCGACATTTGTCAAAATGCTATCCAAATGCGGTATATATGTCTTTCCTATTCACGTGTAGCCCATCCAATCCCATTTCAAGTTCGTCTGATTGTTGGATCAAATGACGCAGAAGGCAGGGTAGAAGTCTTGTATGACGGATCATGGGGAACTATATGTGATACCAAGTGGGATCTAAGAGACGCGAGGGTGGTTTGCAGAATGCTGGGGTTTGATGGAGCCTTAGAAGCACCGGGATCTGCTAGGTTTGGTCAAGGCTCTGGGCGAATTCTTTTAAATGATGTTGGTTGTGATGGAACAGAAGATAACCTTGCAGTCTGCGCTCATGCAGGGATTCAACGTTACTCTTGCAGCCATACAAGTGATGCAGGCGCTGTTTGTTATTCGGGAGGTAGGTTATTATTTTTTTGTATAGGTTAGCCATTTGAGTAATTATTCTTACTTATTCGCTTGCGCATACCTCTGCAGGTATATTTTGCATTTACCTTAGTCGATCATTGAAGTTGGTCGCATGGAAGTGACCTCCGTAAACAAATGAGAATTATAGGAAGCTTTTCTTTCTCCGACGTTTCACCTGTATTTGTTGTAATAGTTGAGGGACTGCTCTTCTACAGATATGTCTAATCACATGAAAAGGGTTCTAGGACAATTACCCCCGGGACAAACATTCCCCCGAAAAAATTCGTTTATTGAAACAAAATTATTACCTGGGTGAACTTCCCCTGAACAGGGGGTAATTTTCCGAAGGGGGTAAATATCCTCAGGGGCTGTTATCCTGGTGCGGGGTACAACTGTCCTTGGGAGGGCGTAATTGTCCTAGGGGGAATATTCAGGATGGGGGTAATTGTCCACAGGGCGATAATTTTTTCCGGGGGGTAATTCCCGGGGTGATTGTCAAAGGGGTAATTATACTGATATGCGTGAAATGCTGCTAACCAATCCATGTACTGGAGTTTTTTTTAAAGAGGGGTACTTGATAACATTTCCTTGTAAGTGTATGTACATTTTATCTTATAAACGTAGTCTGCTTTTAATCCTAACCATTCATTAAACACAGCGGAGCCATTTCAAGTTCGTCTTACCAATGGAACCACCGATTCAGAAGGCAGGGTGGAGGTTTTGTATAAGGGGAGCTGGGGAACGGTTTGTGATGATAGCTGGGATCTAAGAGACGCAAGAGTAGTTTGTAAAATGCTTGGATTTGACGGAGCTTTAGCCGCACCTGGTAGTGCTACGTTTGGTGCCGGAAGCGGAAAAATCTTGTTTGATGACGTTGGATGCAAGGGTACAGAAGACACCCTTGCTGAGTGCTACCATCGAGGGCTTGGAGTCAACAACTGTAAACATGACAGTGATGCTGGTGTCTTTTGTTTTAAAGAAGGTACGTTGTGTATTTAAAAAAATAGAGTGCATATAGTTGTCAGCCAAACTGGAGTCATAAAGATGTTACGGAAAGGTATCTCAATAAATATACCTTCCATTGATCATTCGCATGATACTTACGGTTAGACTCAGGTTACCATTACACCGGTTCAGCTTCTTTATTCTAATCGGACATAGTTAAAACGTAATATAAAATCGTACAATGTGATTTCTTTGGTATTTTTTTTTCATTTAGTAACACTTCAGTGACTTGACTGTGCTCATAAGCATACATGTATATAAACCTACTGTCTGTGTTGACCAAATTTCCATGCATGGGCTATTTGTTACGAATATTAAACTTCATTACACATCTTATAATAACATTTTGTAGAGGGGTTAGTAACTTTCTTTAAAGTAAAGTTAGTGGCAACTGAATAGATCTTTTGCACACTCGTTTGTCAATAATAGAATCGTCTTTATCTTGACCCTCTAGATCCATTTCAATTTCGTATTGTCAATGGATCTAACGATGCTGAAGGAAGAGTAGAGGTACTGTACGATGGATCCTGGGGAACCATCTGTGGTGACTGGTGGGATCTAAAAGACGCGAGGGTTGTTTGCAGAATGCTGGGGTTTAACGACGCAATGGCTGCACCTATTTCTTCAAGGTTTGGTCAAGGACCTGGCCAAAGCCTTCTTACATATGTTGTTTGTGGGGGAACAGAAGATCACTTGGCCGATTGTTTTCACGCAGGTGTAGGACGTTCTAATTGTAGTCATAGTAGTGATGCTGGCGCCTCTTGCTCCTTGGGAGGTAAGCTTTTCACTGTTGTTTGGTATAACGCTTATACCAGTTGGTGCCTTACTTGGTATAACGATTATACCAGAAGGTGCTCTGTTGGTTGGTATAACGCCTATAGCAGTTAATGTATTGTTGTTGTTTTTGTTTTCATGTGTGGATTTTGTAAAGCATTAACAATTCATGTGTTATTTATAGATGCTTTCGCAAGTCATGAACTGTTTTAAGATTAGGCAGAACCATTTACTAAAGGGGTATTGATAAATGTGTTAATAATGCTGGCTACCGGTATCTTTTACATAAGCCTTGAAGAAAATTAAAAGAGAAACCCACAACCTGAAAACTATTTCGGTCAAAATCTGGATTTCGATGTCCAGATTGAAATAGTATATTGTTCATTGAATCATTGAATATGAATATCCTTTGTTATTCTGGCTGGATATGCCTATGTATGGAAATGATATGATGATGAGCTTCTTGATTTGATACTTTCCCTATCTTTATGATACTATGGAGAAGAGAATTTCATATTCATAAAAATGTCAGATTGTTTAATGTACACTTGTACATTCTCTTTTATAAAGGCGATGTGAGATCTTGTAACAAAAACATGTTTCAAGTGAATAGCTAAAAAATGCAATAAAAAAACCTGTTTATATTTTGTATTTACAAATTTGTCGAAATATCGAGCTGTGGTGATATCTTTCTGGATGGTGTTCAGTACTGTACATTCTAGCGAATTTTACTTACATGTGTTTGTCAACATTCACGTATTTCCAACAAACCGTTTTATGAAATAACTTGTTTGGAATTGCGTTGATAATCGCTAAATATTTATAATTTTTTCATTTTTATTTGGTCAATATCAATCTAACCCACCCTGCATTTGTTTGCTATACATTTCAGTTCAACTTGTCAATGGATCCGATGAATATGAAGGAAGAGTTGAGATACTACATGAAGGGTCTTGGGGGACTGTATGCGACGATTTATGGGACCTGAAAGACGCTAAAGTTGTGTGTAGACAGTTAGGATTTGATGGGGCTTTAGCAGCTCTACCCCAAGCAAGATTTGGTCAAGGTTCTGGTGATATCTTTCTGGATGGTGTTCAGTGCAATGGGACAGAAACCAACATTAAATACTGCAAGCATAAGGGGATAGGTGTTCATAATTGTGCACACAAGGAGGATGCCGGTGTCATATGTAAAACTGCTGATTTCCGAATGATAACATTAATTGGGCCGTGTTTTTTATTCTTAAGCTGCATTCTGATCGCATCACTTGGGTACTGTATTTACAGGTTTAAAAAGAGAATGTATGCTAGGGATTTAGACACTGAAATATATATGGACGTGACGACTATGTCATCAATGCATGCTCGGTCACCCGGTTCCGCTTACCAAGACTTGAACGCACCACCTAAATTACCTGAAAGACGGAAAAGTGATGTTTTGGGTCACCATTATGAATCAAATATAAAAGATATAAAAGATAATCACGATAACGATTTAGAAGAGGTCCATGATTATGCGGATATGAAAACTGTTCACCAAACACTTAAAACTGATAAGGACTTGGACATAGACGGGTATCTCCTTCCGAACACAGAAATACCTTTAAACGATGGAAAGTCGGTATCAGATAAAATAAACTGTGGCTGCAAAATGGAAATGCCAAAACTATCTGATGAACAAGCAGGAACGGGGTTTTTACCTCAAGGCATAAAGGAAAAGATGAAAAACGAATATATGGAAATGAACACGGTTTACCAAAAGCCTAAAACGGGGACGGACATAGATCTTGATGGATACGTCCTTCCAAACGCAAGACCTTCGTTGAATGATGGTGATACAGGAACCTATGAATTAACTCGTAAAATGAACGACAAGGAATCGAACATGGGAATCGACTGTACTTTAGGTGAAGGGAGGGTCCCCTTATCGCAAGACACGTCACAGAAAGAGATACACAAGTACATGGATATGAAAACTGTTTGCCAAATTCCTGCAGCAGGAACTGACACGGATCACAATGGGTATCTTCTTCCAAGTACGATGCTAGAGACTAGATCTATCCGAAACGATATCAAAGCAGAATCAGATGGACAATCTGATGAAGACAGGGTGCCAGATGAGGATTGAATGGCGGCGAGTCAATGAAAGAAAGATCACAAAGTATGAGCACTGGAAAAGAAGAGTATTGTACTAGCAACTATCGGAAGCGAAGTTGAAGGGAAGTGTCGAGGTGGTAGGTGTCCTGCAGGATTGATAGACATCTTCAAGAATTGGGAGGGTGGAATGAGAGTAGCGAGATTGAATGCGCGAGAGAGAAGCCGGCGGCCCATAGAGGCTGTGGCATAACATGGCAGTACATGTAGTAATATGTATTTTAAAGAACGGGATGAAACATGGAGGATTCCAGTAAACTAACCTATAAAACAAGGTGCAATCTGAGATTAATGTACATAAGCCATATTGACTAAAAGACACACTCTGAAGGAGATGAACATTGATTAGTATGTTATGTATGAACCATTTATTCTTAATTTAGAACAGGACAATTTGCCATGCACCAAACTAGAAATATACCAGAACCTCTTCCGTTAACACTTTGATAAAATGGTGGTCCTCCTCGTCTTTTGACACAAACATGTTCTCACGACATTTAAACTTACTGTGGTGTTTGTAATTTACTAACAGAACCAATTTGTATATAACGATCATCAGATGAAGCAACTTACAACTGAACTAGACCGAGTTCAGAATCTCCAAATCCGAATTATGCAACAAAGAAATAGCCAAGTGTTTTTTATTGGCTCCCAGAATCATTCTGCAAAAAACGACATTTATTAGATTTGTCTTATTAATTCGATGGTGCTTTTATTTGTGTTGCTCATATCACTAAAACTTATCATTACTGAGGCCCACACAGTATCAAATTGGTGCTTCATTTAATCTTAATGTATACATTACTTTCTTTTATGAAATAAAATGTCTGCAAAAAAAACAAGCGAATGAAATGACAAAGAAACTGTTGAAAGTTCTTATTTATCGTAAAAGTACTAGTTAAATTCATTTCAATTTTTTAAAAGAAATCTAAATCCGAGTACTTTATATTTGTATTGTCACCTAATTTGCATGAAATGATCTGATTGTAATTATGTTATCTTGGGATTTCGATTTGTATGCGCCCATAAACATGGGATTAAGCGCTTTATAAATTGTACATGTATATATTATTAGTAAAAGAAGTACATGAATTATCAAAACAGGCAGAAAAGTGGAACATTTATGTAATTACTAAGTGGTGATTAGTATTACAAACATACAATATTGTATTTGATTGAAATCTATTGTGAAGTTCAAGTTCTGCATTTTTAGTCTAAAGTTGTGTTTGTGTCCACACTTTGCTTAGGGTTGTTTGGTCTTTCTTTTTAAAAATTTATATATCGTTCTATTTGTTTTTTTTACATCGTTTAAGCTTTTAGTTTATAGTTGTTGTTTGGTATTGCAAATTCAACTATGAGTTTTAACAAATTCTCCTCTTGGTTGCGAGCACTTTCAACTTTTGTTCATAAGGGGACTTTTTTGATGCCATGAGTAATTATTTGCATCTGTGCTGTAAAATGTTCTGCTTTGTATGTGTATATGCTTTCATTTGAATTCAACAGAGTTGAACTTTAACATAATCAAATGCATTGTAAATAAGTATCTCTACCAAAAGTGAAGGAATTTCAAATTGCCTATTTTCAATGGGAAATTCCTCCTTTGTTTAGGAAACGTCATTATTTGTCAGAAATATGTTAAATAATCATCGCTATGAAGATATCTTTTTTCCCCAAGGGTAGTAAGTCCACCATATAAACTTCGTTAAATTGTGTATCAACATAATAAAAAAAGAAAATAAGAAAATGGGTTGGGGAGAACTAATTAAACATCGTACATCTACATGAGTAGAAACGTAAGAAAATTGAGGCTATTATAATTACATAATTACTGGCGAAATAGCAATTAGTCTGTGGTGTAAATAGGAACTCCCAATATCTTCGTAGGCCTACTCTGACAAAACATTCTCTCAAATATGCGAGAGTTGTCCAACACTACATGGAGGCGAATTAATTATCAATTTTCTACAAAGTTTGAATAGATAACACGTTTATAAAAAGGTTAGGACTTTCTACCTTTTAAATTTAATTGGTTCAAACTTAAACTAGTTCACTAGTTTTCTGGCATGTGTGCCTGCTAAAGGGGCTAAAGCGACTGTACTGTAGAGGCTTTCCAATGTTAATACCCAGCGTTATGACATTCGCAAGATCGCCGATGTCGACTCCTCTTGCAAACCCAGTATTATTGAAGTGAACGTTATCATGTTCACAGTCAACGAATATAGCATAACATAGTTTGGAACAAGCAGTGTGTAGAACACCAATAATAGATCATCCGTTCATCTATAGTATATTCATCAATCCTACCTACGATGTGAATAGATAGTATACCTACGTCTACGCTCTTGCCTTGCAGACTTGTTGAGTGCGACACAGAAAAATAAAGGCCTGAAAACATAAACAATTATGAACTATGGGCTGTGTGGTTCCACGTTTTTCATAAAGAAGTAATATACTCTCAAATACGCCATGTCATATGCCATGTACAGTGTCACTATAGAGAAACTACTGTACACGGGCCGTGACGTCAGATGTTGGTCTTGATGGCAATTTGCACATTCACACGAGGCCCATCTTAAATTATATATATTTTAAATAATTTTTTCTTATCATTATTATACATTTATGTCTCATCTGTCAGTCGTCATTGTCTCTTTTGACCTTTTCAGTGTTTACTCTACTATATAGGCTACATGTCGTAAGCAAGTTTTCAAATTACGGATTTATAACTGTATTATTATTCTGCCACTTTTTGGTAATCTATGTATATATTTATTTTTTGTTCAAGTCAATATAT